ATATATATAATCTGGATAGGGCGGGACAGGGCAGCCGGCCTTCGTTGGAGCACACAGACTGGGATTGAATTCCTGCCAGCCTAGAAGGTGAGTAGGAGTGAGGGATGGCCACACCTCGGTTCAGCCAAGAGGGTGTGAGATATAAGAGTAGCAAGGGGAATGTCGCACCTTTTCAGTGGTCCGTGCGTCCGGGATGTCTTTGCAGTTCCCAGCAAGCGGAGCCTGTTCTTAAGTCCCCGGAATCTAGGAGAATGCTGTTGCTTTAAATACCCAAAAGGGTCAAGCTACTTGTAAACATTCAAAATGGCTGCGCCCTCCAGACAGGCAAAAGTCAACAGCTCAACCCGCCTTCCTCTTCTCTGCTTCCCTTTTTATTCCCCAGCCACCAGAGTAGTCCTCTGTCCAGTCCCTGGCTAGCAGGGTTGATTTTTAGGTTAATTCTTAGGTCCTACCACCACTCAGCAATCTCCAAGCTGTCTGTGCTGTCAGGTTCGGTGCCAGACCGTAGCTCTGTATGTCTCCTTTTTTGGTATTTTCATGCAAATTCTTCTGGTAGTTGGAGTTTAGTCCACTTCTATATCCTTCCCTTCAAAGTTCAGGGGTCCAGGATTATCTTCTGTATCTGTGTTAATTGGTTCCCCTTTTCTTTGTTGAAGAGGGTCTGTGTAGTCTTTCTGCCTATTCCGCCATCTTACCGGAACTCTGTTATGTGCTTTTTTGTGGTGTTACTTATTTCTTTGTTCCCATATAATTTTCTGTGCTGAGCTCATTTTGTTTATGAATCGTGTTCTCACTTCCTTCATTACTATTGTTTTTGTATTTGCTAAATATTTGTGCTTGTCCTCTTTTTCATTTTGATGTGAAGGCTTATCATTTTTCTTTGCGATTACCATGCGATTTATAATTTTCTTCCCAAGTGCAGAGCAGTCCATTCTATCTTGCACTTGTCTACAGTTTCTCACCATTTAGAAGTTCTGTAACTACACAGTTATTTCTCTCTTTTTGGTTTGTAGTTGCCCTCATTTTCCAATTGATGTCTCTGGTTCCCTGTTTACAATCTTGTAGGCTTATTTTGGTAGCATAGTGCCTAAGGCACTTAACTGCTAACC